AAAGTTTGCACAGCAGATCTACTGCGACATTCAGGCCTAAATCTCTGTGTATTATGAGTCCATTCACGCTCATCATTCAGGAAATACCGGCGAACAACTCGATGAACACGAGCGTAAATGCAAGGAGACAGTAAAGACCTCCATTAATCAAGTCATTAACGAGGTTTGAAGGGGAAAGAAATGACCTATAAATGAGGTCAGTGACACAAAACGTGGAATGTGCTGGGAAAAGTTCAGGGTACCTGCCAGTTTTAATAGAGAATTTATTCCTTAATTTTTCTTTCTTTTTTGTTGTTGTTTTGAACAAAGAAATCTATGGAAGTGTATTGCATTCACTTGAAGAAAAAAAATCTACCCTGTTTTTCTGAATTAACGTGTTAATTATCTCAGAATTACGAGTTCATTTTTCATGGAAAAAAGTTTTTGCTCTGTTTTTCTGAATTAATGACTTGATTATCTAAAAAAAAAAAAAAACGTGAAAACTTTTTTCCATTTTGAGATAATTAACTCGTTAATTCAGAAAAACGGAAATGTAAAATGTAATTTATTCCTGTGATCAAAGCTGAATTTTCAGCATCATTACTCCAGTTATCAATGTTGATATTTTTGATCAAATTTAAAAAAGAAATATTTTGTAACACTATAAATGTCTTTACTGTCACTTCTGATCAATTTAATGCATCCTTTTTCTTCTTTTTTTACTACTACTACTAAATGAGCCATTTCTGATGTACTGGGTGAATTATTAAGACAAAAAATGTTAAATGCAGCCGTGTAAAATAATGTTGTTGATTGTGTGCTTTGTTCTTTATTTGTCTTTATGGAATCTGCTTCCTGTCCTGATGTGCCACTAACACCTCTTTACACTCAGAAAACAGCCAAAGGTAAGACAAAGTTTTTCTTCTTTATGTGTATATTAATATTTATACAAATTTCATATTACAGCTATAGCAATATAGTTGTGAATTACTTAAAATTCTCATCCATTTTTTTATGTATCTCTGAATAGGTCTCATCCTAGGTTAACTTGATTATTATCCGTATATCTTTTTTTATTTATTTCTAGAAAAATCATATTCAAATCATGATGAAAAATCAATCATAATGTGCAGCTTTGGAGGAAGATTTATTTGTTCATCTCAATCATCATCACAACTACAGTGCTTTGATCATAAAACTAAGCATTTAAATATAATCAATCAAGTATAGAGTGACGACTGATATTTATATGCATTTCATGTAAGTAGTCTGTAATATAAATATATCATTGATTTACAATACAAGCCATCACCTTTTTGGCCATATTAATATGAACTACTGCACCAAATTAAATGTTTTTGCTCAGTTTTGGCCTTCAAATACTGTAAACTTGGTGTTTTTTCCATAATCTAACTTCATCACACTATATGAGCCATAGAAGCCTGATGTATCAAACATGATACTCAACAAAAACACATATGCATGTTCAATAAACTGTCCCATTTCATTTTTCTGACATATGTCAGGCCTTACAATTGTTAACAACACAATTTTCACGTTAAAGTGTTTCCACATGCAGTCAAAGAGGCATTTGAGCTCCTCCATCCTTCCGGTGGGTCATCAGACGGGGATAACCGTCTGTGTGAATGTGTCAGGCCTCTAAGATCTCGTGAACAACCACAAAGTGTGAGGCAGCGAGGGACACACAGGGCCAGTGTACACACATTCAAAGCTGCATTGTTGCTCGTCTCCCTCTCTCGCTCGCAGACGCAGCGCTGCCATTGTGCTTGGCAGACAGACTGCAGTGCAGACTAATGCTGAGCAACACTATTCCAGCTTTTCTCCTTTTTCAACCAGTTACCCAATCAGAAGCGTAGTGCCGATTGCTGGAAAGCGTTTCTCCGCATACGCCAATGAACAGAGAGAATATGACTCAAAATACACTGTGCCGAATTCAGTTGCTGCACTGATTCACTAACTGTTAAACCTGGCTCTGTCTATGAAACTGTGCCACGCGTGCTATTGAAATGCAGTCATTGATATTAAATTTGAATGCAAATTCTCCTCCTTTCTGTGTAAGATAATAATACACTCACTCACCTAAAGGATTATTAGGAACACCTGTTCAATTTCTCATTAATGCAATTATATAATCAACCAATCACATGGCAGTTGCTTCAATGCATTTTTGGGTGTGGTCCTGCTCAAGACAATCTCCTGAACTGCAAATAAATAAATATCGATGTCTCGATATGAATCTATTCTCATTTTTACGAATCGATTAGTCATCCTGTTTCATTTGAATGAATGGATCATTGTATCGCGGCTGCGCGCATCCAAAAAATCGCATTAATCTTTGTCCTTTGTTAGTATTGATATGAAACAAAGTCTCAAATTTTAAATTACGTCCATTTTCTTTAGAAATTCAAAAACATAAATAGCGTTTTGTCGCTGTGGCGTGAGATCGCTCTGGCGCAGCTGAAGAGAAGCAGCAGCGCTGATCTCTCTTCCGGGTTAATAATACCAGTCACAGCGCGAAATAAACATGAATGAGCATCTGAAAGTGTGTTAAAAGATAGAGTACAGCTTATCGAAATCCGTATTATGTCACATTGATTCACTCAATCAGCGTTTCAACCGTGGAAAGACGTCAGGTAAACAGCTTGTAATCAATGTCATGTATCGTCATATTTACCTCAGAAAACCCACATCAACTCGTTAGTCCACACTCGTTAGTGTTCTTCAATATTTAATGCATATTTTAATAAATCTGGCAAGTTTTTATGACAGCCACCATTTAAATGTTTATATTTCATATAATCTTCTCATTATAAAAATAAATAAGTGTAATTTAAGTGTTTATAGCTACAAAACAGTTAATTATTCATATTAGGCTAATGAAGCCTAGTAGGCTACAACTAGACTCCCATAGTTTACAGCATTAGTTAAGAGATTTGATTTCCTTGAAAATTTGCCATTTATTGTAACTGATATCCAAAATAATCAACATTGAATCGAAATCGAATCAAATTGCAAGCTTGTGAATCGAAATCGAATCGAATTGTGAAATTTGTGTCAATACCCAGCCCTAATATTTCTTATTGAATTGAATGAATAAATAAGTGCAGAACTATTTTTGAAAAAAGAAAAGTGTATCTGATCAGATAATTTGAGATATTTATTGTTATTTCCTCCTCTTCAGACGGATGTTCAGATAACGCCCAGTATATTCTGCATGCGTGTTTCCAGTGTTTTCGCTCTCTGTTCTTAATCTGAGAACATTTGGGTCAGTCTGATTTTACAGATGAGAGAGTCTGTCTGTTTCCCAGTGATCTCCAGAGAGAGAACTCATGCGTGCTCATAAAACATGTCGCACTATATCACTGCAAAACACATAACACAGCTCATCCTTAATCAATTTTCTTATTCAGTCAAAATATGGAAACAATATGTAAAAGTTAAGAAAGTCACTCTCGTAAAAATAAAGGAATTGACATTTATGTTTTTTATTCCACAAAAGGTTCTTAATAGTTCAAAAAGGTTATTTAGATTATTATAATGTTCAAAAAAATGTTTCTTTTAAGCACTGCTATCTGAAATGTTATTTGGGGATCCCAAAATCCCAAGGTAGTTCTACTGTATCGCTATAAAAGCCCATTTTGCACTCTTTAAATCCTATAAATCCATTGAAGGATTTTGTTGAATTTGGAACAAGACTATATCGACGTATATAAAACACGTAGAGTAATCTGAGCCTTAAAGGGGTCCTGCTATGCTTTTTAACATTTTCTACTGTTTTCAGTGTGTAATGTTGCTGTTTGAGCATGAAAAAACGCCTCAATTGTATTCTTAAGTTTTCTTAATTCCTCATTTAAATAATTCCCACCCAAGGTATAAACGCAGAATAAAGGGACGAGACCCGGTTGAGTTATTTTAGTATTGTGTTGAAACTGGCGATATCGGAAAGAGGCGGGACATCATTGCGAGACCAATCACAACGCACTCGCCCAGCCGACCAATCAGAACGCATTGAGCTTTTCAGAAGGAGGGGCTTCATAGAGACAGGAACTAAACAGATCATTACTGACAGACTGGGAGGAGAGAAGCTGCAACAATGGAGAATATGTGAAAAAATTCATTCAAGCATGAAAAATGTTTCTAGTAGAGACCAAAAACAACATCAAGACTTTGAAAACGGCATAATAGGTCACCTTTAATATTTTATACAACTGAAGATATGTATCTTCTATTATGGAAATCTAGTTTATGAACCGTTTATTGCAAAACTAGGGCGAAAATCGTTTATGCACTAACAATTCTACGTTGTTTAGGATGTGAGATAAGGAAAACTCTCACTCTTGGCTTGTATCCCTGCTCCCGTACGGATCCGCAGGGTCGGTCGCTCTGGAAACATGTGTCACCAAAGCAGGAATTTATTCCACTGTCTCCAGATTTATGTATATAATTAACTGTGTCTTCACGAAGACTGTTGCTGTACACAAGCACCGTAAGAATGTCTCAGGAGAGACCACAGGAGCGTTTCACTGCTACTTAAAATGTTTCGTTTAAGTTTAAGCTTGTTTCTTGTAAAATGCCTAATGAGAAATTAAAACCGACTACACTAATAAAACATAGAGAAAATTTTCACTCAGATCAAAATTATCACAAATAAAGGCTTGAAATGTCTCACTTATGTATTACTTAGTCTATATAATAAATTTGTTTCAACTTTTAAGTTGAATTACTGAAATAAATGAACTATTCAAATGTTTTGAGTCTCACCTGTATATGAAGTCTCTATATACATAGTGAACCTTTTCTTCTAATAGTGTCATAAAATAGTGATGATGAGGGGTGTTTTCCCATTCTCATTCACTCAGCGTGTTCAAGACAAGCAGAATCATGTTGTGTGTGTGTGTATCAGGTACAAAACACATGAAGTCTTCTTTTGTCTGTCTGAGACCTGACCAGCATCAAGAGGAGTGTGTTATAACATGCCTCTCTCTGTGTGTCTGCAGGTGTTTGCCTTCGATCACTGCTTCTGGTCCATGGATGAGTCCAACATCCCGAAGTACGCCGGTGAGTCACTCTTTGACACGTCCACACAGAATCACTTTCTCTCGCTGTGCTAGATGGAGTCACACCTGCATAATAATGATGGATTACTTTTGGTATTGTAATATGGAAAGCCCTGGAAATAACATGGACACACGATGTGCCGTTCCCAGGGTGGGGTCCGAGAAGAGCAGCTTAGACCACATGCTGGTCCAGGCTAGTTTAGGCTTGGTACTAGTAATACTGTGGTGTTCACTGACCGTCTGATGCATATTACACACGCAAAACTGGAGAAGGCTTAGCACACCCATGCTTAAGTTGACTAAAAAGAGTAATAAAAAAATTATCTATTGGAAATTCATCTTAATGCCTTAATTAAAAAATTTGAAAAACTCCAAACTTTATGGACACCAATTTTCTTTGTGAATGAATAATGTATCGTAAATAAATAAATGTTCTTCCTTAAAATACAGGGTGCTTAAGTCAGGACACCCGTATGTTAAATTCCCATCGAGTCAGGCAGATTTTTTATTTTTAAAGGCCAGTTACTTCATGGATCCAGGATAATATTAAATTAGTATTAAAATAGCCCCACCTCATCACATAGCCTTCACCACACCAAGAGTTTGGCTTGGTTTTCTTTTAGTTAGCCTAATAGCTGATTTGATTTGCATTGAGAGATGATCTTATGGAAAGTAATCTCTAGATATGGGGAAGGGTGTGTGATGATGTGGGGCTATTTTAGTGAAAATACTGAAATAATTGGCCAAATATAAAATAACTGGCCAAAAATGAAATTAATGCCCAAATATGAAATAACTGGGCAAATATGAAGTAAATGGCCAAATATGAAATAAATGGCCAAATGTGAAATAAATGGCCAAATGTGAAATTAATGGCCAAATATGAAATAACTGGGCAAATATGAAATAAATGGCCAAATATGAAATAAGTGACCAAATATGAAATTAATGCCCAAATATGAAATAACTGGGAAAATATGAAATAAATGGCCAAATGTGAAATAAATGCCCAAATATGAAATAAATGGCCAAATATAAAATAAATGCCCAAATATGAATTAAATGGCCAAAAAAAAAAAATGAAATAAATGGCCAAATGTGAAATAAATGGCCAAATGAAATAAATGGCCAAATATGAAATAAATGGCTAAATATGAAATAAATGGGCAAATTTTAAAATATCTGGCTAAATAAGAAATAAGTGGCCAAATATGAAATAAATGGCCAAATGTGAAATAACTGGCCAAATATGAAATAAATGGCCAAATATGAAATAAATGGCTAAATATGACATAAATGGGCAAATATAAAATAACTGGCCAAATATGAAATTAATGGCCAAATATGAAATAAATGGCCAAATGTGAAATAACTGGCCAAATATGAAATTAATGGCCAAATATGAAATAAATGGGCAAATATGAAATAAATGGCCAAATGTGAAATTAATGGCCAAATATGAAATAACTGGGCAAATATAAAATAACTGGCCAAATAAGAAATAAGTGGGCAAATATGAAATAAATGGACAAATATGAAATAACTGGCCAAATATGAAATTAAATATGAAAAAAATGGCCAAATATGAAATAACTGGCCAAATATGAAATAAATGGGCAAATATCAAATAACTGGCCAAATATGAAATTAAATATGAAAAAAATGGCCAAATATGAAATAACTGGCCAAATATAAAATAAATGGCCAAATATGACATAACTGTGCAAATATGAAATAAATGGCCAAAAATGAAATAAAATATGAAATAAATTGCCAAATGTGAAATAAGTGACCAAATATGAAAAAACTGGCCAAATATAAAATAAATGGCCAAATATAGAATAACTGACCAAATATGAAATAAGTGACTAAAAATGAAATAACTGGCCAAAAATGAAATACAGTAAATGGCCAAATATGAAATAAATGGCCAAAATAAAAATCTGCCTGTCTCTATGGGAAATTACCATAGGGGCGTCCTGACTTATAGAGTTTTCCACATTTTTTAAATGAAGGTATTGAGATCAATTTCCAAAAGATGTCTTTTTTTTATTTCTCTTTTTAGTCAACTTTAGCATGGGTGTGTTCACTTATGCTAAGCACTGTATAACACTTTATTTCTGTCAGTGTTTTTGTTCTGAAACCCCACACTGCACTGTCACACATTGACATGGCTCTTCAAGTCTCTGTTTAAGTCTGCCAAAATTAAGCCTGGCTGACAAACTAATGACTTAACAGACATGTTCTTACATGGATCTGCTTCTTTCAGCTGTCAGTCTTACAGTCTAATGGATATAAAGGTGTATTCATGAACCTGCTAATGCAGTGAGTGTGATATTGACTCGCACAGACACACTGGTTATTAAAGTCTTTTATGAAGGATAATGTGCAGTTACAGGGTTTTATACAGGCCTGTACAGTCAAATTATGCTTTGGGGAATTCCTATTTTTTCACAAGCCTTTTTTTATGCTATAAAATCAATTTAACGTGATGCTTTGGGTATTTATATATTAAATTCCATCAATCAGTTTACAGCTAATTAAATTGCAAATTGCTAATATATATTTTTTGGGCAGGACCTTACTTGCATGTGCAATATTTTTTCTCTGTTTTCTTCTTCTTATTATTATTCTTATAATTTTTTTTTTTAAAGATGGCTTAGTAATTTTACTTATTATATGAATTATCTACATTTTTATTTGAGGATTCTGGCATTGAAATTTCTCTTATTGAATTAATAAAGTTGAACCATATCTTACTTTAGACGGAGTCTGGATTTTGAATTCGTTTTTATTTTAGTATTTTCATTTTCTTTGTAATTTAGGTTCATTTTTAGTTCGCTTATATCTTCTTTTTACTGGTTTAATGTATTGGTAACACTTTACAATAAGGTTCCATTTGTCAACATTTGTGAACTACATTAGACTTATAATGAATAATATTTGTAAAGCATTTATTAATATTAGTCCATGTTAATTTCACCATTTACTAATACATTATTAAAATATAAAAAGTATCTTGATTAATGATTCTGATCTGAAAGATGAACAGCTGTATTTTTAAATACTGTAACAAATTTATTGCTCATTGTAGGCTAGCGTTACATAATTAGACATTATTGTAAAATGTTCATTTCAATTGCAGTTTTAGTTCAGTGTTAGTTTTCATTTTAACATTCCTGTGTTTGTGGACTTTACTTTTCTAGTTTCTTTACAAGTTTCTGTAACACATGATTTCTCTCTCTATCTGTGATAAAAAAAGTGAATGGAAAAAGTAATTGCTTATTGCCCAATTACTCGTCACTTAAACAGGGTTAATGAGTTGTGACGATCTCCAGTCTGAAGGGTTTCATGCATCAGATGTTCAGTGTGAACTGCACGAGCTGCACTGGTGCTCGCAAACAACAGGCCATGAAAGTGCTCGAGGTCCGTCTTTATTTAGCTCTTTACACAGCTGGCTGATTCACCATGAATGTGGAGAACTGTGCATTCTCGAAGGGCATCATGCGGCCCGTTTCCGCATTCACTCGCTTATTTTGGAGGTTTTTGTGGGAGGGCTTTTGACGGATTTCTTTTAAGAGGAAAGGAAATGAGAAATGTGGAGATCCCTTTGTTGCTGAGCTGTGAATTATTCCTTCATGTACAGTACGGAGATCAGAGCGAGAAGATGTTGTTGTGATGGTTTCATGTGTTTGTCTTGTAGGTCAGGAGGTCGTGTTCAAGTGCCTTGGGGAGGGAATACTTGAAAATGCATTTCAAGGATACAACGCCTGCATTTTTGCCTATGGACAAACAGGTACTGTTACAGAGAAACAATACGTGGTCTTTTGTAAGGGTGCTGATAGTGACATCCGTTTCATTGAAAGACATGAATAGATGCTCGTTTATTGGCGTGAGAGCAGTGGTAATTACCCTAAAAGAGCCCTGCGAGACAGAACTATAGTGTACAAACAGGTTTCACACTGGAAAAGAAAGATTTTCTTTCACTGTTGTGAAAATCACACAATAAGGAATTCCCCGTTTCACCTTGTTTTACGGTGGTCTGATGAATCTCACAAAAACATGTCCAGGTCACATTTCATGCCAACATATTTTTTATAGATTTTTTTCATGCATTTTTTAATGACAATTAAAGCACAATTTCACTTCAAAAACTGTTGTGTTCTCAATTATCATTTTATTTCGTTTTTAAAAAAAATATATTATTTCTAGTTAGTTCTAAAAAAATTCATAGAGTGATAGAGTTCAACCTGAATTTTTTTATTTGTATGTATATATATATATATATATATATATATATATCTTTGCACTGCCCTAAAATATAAATAAATATATTAGGGCTGTGCAAAGATTAATTGCGATTAATCGCATCCAAAATAAAAGTTTGTGTATACATAATATATGTGTGTGTGCTGTGTATAATTATTTTGTGTATATAAATACACACACATGCATGTATATATTTAAGAAAATGTGTTATTCATTTATAAAATATTTATATTTATATATAATACAATTAGAACAGGAAGCTTCTGCGTTTCCAATCACGCTGTTGTGTTAAACCGCTCAGTCTTTCCTCTGCCTTCCTGTCCTAGTTCTCAGACCGGCGTTTTGTCCTCCAACACAAGCTTTCCATGCGGGCTGACGTGTGTGAACACGCCTGCTGGGTGAGAGAGTGTCTCCTAACCTTTGAAACGTTGTGTTGGTGGTCTGGCAGGCTCGGGGAAATCCTTCTCAATGATGGGCAATGGAGAGCAGCCAGGCCTGATCCCGAGACTCTGCTGCTCGCTGTTCGAGAGGGTCTCCCAAGAGCAGAACGAGGCCCACTCCTTCAAGGTGGAGGTCTCCTTCATGGAGATCTACAATGAGAAGGTCCGAGACCTGCTGGATCCCAAAGGGTGAGCGGATTCGTAACACACACACTCCTCAAGTTCACACAGAATCACAGGATACACAGAAGCTGGCTTTAAATCTGCAGGCTGTGTGAAGGATGTTCACAGTCATTGATCTGTCATATACACACACACACACACACCATCTAGTGAGAGTTTGCAGCGCTGGTTTTCACACTCAGATGTGCTGGTGCTTTCAGTTTACTAAAAGTCCAGCATTTAAAAAAAAATGTTTTACACAAAAATTTCTATTTCTTTTTGGCTTTATGGGTTTAAATTCATTTCTTTATGTTTTCAGTTTTTATATTTTACATTTTTGTGCTATATATATTTTTTTATTAATAGTTATAATTGAATTAGTAAATTATTTTATGTCCTAGTTTTACAACTTTATGGCCTTATTTTTTTATTTCTTAGACTTTTTTGTTTCAATTTTATTCTTTACATTTTCAATAGTTTTTTATTTGTGCCCTTTTTTAAATCAATATTTTTTACATTTTATTCATTACTTATTTTTTTATTGTTATCTTATTTTGTGCTATATGATGTTTGTATTAATTTATAGTTATAATTTAATTTTTATGTTTTAGTTTAACTTTTAAAAATGTTTTTATTTGTTAAAATTTCATGCTTTACATCTTCAATTTTTATTTATTTATTATTTATTTAAATTTTGTATCTTTAATTTTTTTATTGTTTTCTATTGTACTATTCACAGTATATTGTTAAAAATGTATTTATCCTTACAATTTTATTAGTAAATTATTTCTTGTCCTGTTTTTATGGCTTAGTTATGTCACTTTGGGTTCTTTTTTAACAGTTTTCTTGACAATTTTATACTTTGCCTTTTCATTTCAGATTTTTATTTTTACCTTTTATTATTTAATTTTATATATATATATATATATATCAGGACAATAAGTAATATATATATATATATATATATATATATACACACAATTTATTCATAAATATAATTTAATTTAATTATTATAATTTATAATTTAATTTTTTTAATCTTAAAATTTTTTAATTTTCTCTTTTTGTTTTGAATTAAATTATATCTATTGATAATTATCAATAGATATAATTTAATTCAAAACAAAAAGAGACAATTAAAAAAAATTAAGATTAAAAAAATTAAATAATAAATTATAATAATTAAATTAAATTATATTTATGAATAATATATTCATATTATGAATATAAGCAGAATAAATAACATGCTCTAGATACTGTCAAGAGGCTCAAACATTTGTTCTCTTCCTTGTGTACAGGAGCAGACAGTCTCTGAAGGTCAGGGAACATAAAGTCCTGGGTCCGTATGTGGACGGGCTCTCTCAGCTGGCTGTGATGAGCTTCGAGGTAAACATCATATTTTCTCCTGAAATATTTCCTCAGAAGATTCATGAAAGTCTCAGTTGTTTCAATGTTACATTAAAAGGAACGTCATATTAATGTTACTGGAAGAGAACCTTTCCAAAGCATTAGCTGAGGACGTTCCCTGTTGAAAAGATGTTTGCAATTTATTTGCGTGTTTTCTCTCATTTCTCATCAACGCAGGACATTGAATCTCTGATGTCGGAGGGGAACAAATCCCGCACTGTAGCCGCCACCAACATGAACGAGGAGAGCAGTCGCTCGCACGCCGTCTTCAGCGTCATCGTCACGCAAACGCTCTACGACCTGCAGTCGGGGGTCGGTGCTTCACTCTTAATCACCGTTATACATTTCAAATTTGGCATATATATGAGAAATGAAGTATATTTTGTCCCTAATGATAAACAAATTATTGATCAGTTTTGTTTATTTGTGACATACAGCATAAATCATCGTCTTTCACATACATGGTGGGCAAAAGTGATGTCCGGAGGGGAGCTTTGTTTTTAATGACCCTACAAGTTTGATTAAACCAAATAATAATATTTTAAACATGAGGGAAGAACAGAGGGTTTTTGTTTTACCATACAAACAAATGCATAGAAAAACAAAAAAAACTTACAGGAAAAAGCATAGATTAACTACAACATAATCGGTTATTAATATTTGGTACGTTCTCTCTTGTTTTTGCATGCGTTCATAATTTCTTTGTATAAAAAAAAGTAACCTCGACACAGTTTTATTGCTTTATCACAAATAAAATAATTGACTCCAAGCACAATTATGCAATATGATTACAAAATCATTTACAAATTTGTAATAATTCAAAAACAGGGTTCAGAAAACATGTCATTCATCCTAACTTAAATCCAAAAGTCATATGCTCACATCACTGACATCAGATTATCATTCCTAAATATGATTTTTTTTTTTTTTTTGCAGTTCCTAATATTAAGTTAATTCGTGGCAAGTGTTCATTTTAGACCCTGATCTACACCAGACACATGTATTTGTGCTAATTTAGGAAGTTGTAATACTTGCTTTTATGTGTGTGTGTGTGTGTGTGTGTGTTTGTGTGCGAACGCAGAATTCTGGAGAGAAAGTGAGCAAGATTAGTCTGGTTGATCTGGCCGGCAGCGAGCGTGTGTCCAAGACTGGAGCTGCTGGAGAGAGACTGAAGGAAGGAAGCAACATCAACAGGTGAGGGCTCTCGCAACGTTTCACTTGCTTATAATGATACAAAAACAATTAAAATTAAATAATAACTAAACATTAATCAAAATGTCAAGTTAATATAAATAATAAAAAAATAAAAATAAAAAAATGCTAGCTAAAGGATAATTTCATAAATAATGACAAATTAAAATAAATAATTTAAATATAAAACACTTAAGAATGTATTAAATCATAAAAAATGGTGAATTAAAATAAATAATTAAAAATAAAAACAAAAATAAGAATTTATAAATCATAAAAATGGTGAATTAATATAAAATAATTAAAATAAAATACTAACTAAACATTAATTAAATCATGAAATGTCAAGTCTTTTTAAACAAAAACAAAACAAAGAAAAAAATAACTAAAAGTTTATTTAAAAAAGTGACAAATTTAAATAAATAATTAAAAAAATAAAATAATATAAATTTAATAAATCTTAAAAATGGTGAATTAAAATAAAAAAATGAAAACAATAACAAAACTAAGAATTTATAAATCATAAAAATGTTGAATTAAAGTTAATCATTTGACTTTAAAAGATTAAAAAAAAAAACCTTACTAAAAAAAAAAAATGTTGTTTACCTCCATGTCATGTGACCACTATCCGAGTGAAAACAAATACAGGATTTTTCTCCATATAATGGACTTCAATGGGGTCCAATCAGAGAACCTGAAAACATGCAAATGTTTCAGGGATACTTACAGGGATACTAACCATTTTGTTTATTGTCTCCGGTATACAATAAATATTTTAACTCAGAGGTTTGTCTGACAAAAAAGTTTGGGAATCCCTACTCTAATTAAAAAAAATAAAATCCCATAAAATCAGCTAACCATGCAGCTATATTTGCGAGCCTCCCTTGAATGAGTGTGTGCTGTTTGACTCCAGGTCTCTGACCACGCTGGGCTGTGTGATCTCCGCTCTGGCTGATCAGTCTGCAGGGAAAGGCAAGAGCAAGTTTGTGCCTTACAGAGACTCAGTGCTGACGTGGCTGCTCAAGGTCAGTGTGTCTCCTTCCATAGACCCAAAAGTCCAGGGGAATTCAACTCACACGACACCGTTTTCTGCTGAAAACTGAAACGTTTTTATGCGTTTTGGCCATTCATCTACACATCAGTGGCACTTCAGGGGCCTGAAAATTGCAGGTGCTTTAAAAGTGCAGGTTTTTGCAAATGATACCGTTATCGTCTCCGTGTAAACTACAAAAACTTGAATTTGTGAAAACACTGACGTCATGCACATCGCTATTGACAACTACTGGCCTGACGGTATAATACAAAGCTTTTAGTCATTTGTCACGGATCCGTTTTCCCTCAAACTCAGACTTTTTGTCTTCTAGAGTGTGCATTTGTACCCTCACACATCTTCAGTAGTTTTAAGTGTGACTTGATTACATACTTTGTGGTGTTTTATGGGTGTAAAGAGCTCTTTTAGTGCAATTTGCTTATCTGGACTCTCTGATTTGTGGAATTTTCTGCACAGCATTATGGGTAATGTAGTTTTCACCATGAATTCCGCTGTTAAACTTGATTACTTTAAAAATAAGTTGAAATAATCTGGGCTTCCAGCTTCAACACCGTTATATATAATCTGTTAACAACCTCGTTGCTCACATTAAGGCTGCCTTTAAAGGTTTAGAAGTTATTGTTAAAAATCTATGGAGAAATGAATGGAGTTTCCAGTTTCTGAACTGATTGCTTCTACAGGACAATCTCGGTGGCAACAGCAAGACGGCCATGATCGCCACCATCAGCCCAGCCGCTGACAACTACGAGGAGACGCTGTCGACGCTGCGCTACGCCGACCGAGCCAAGAGGATCGTCAACCACGCCGTAGTCAATGAGGACCCCAACGCCCGCATCATCAGGGAGCTCCGGGAGGAGGTGGAGAAGCTCAAAGTGCAGCTCTCTCAGGCGGAGGTGAGCAGAGACTTATGGGAGATTATCGGAAGAGTCTCTGACACAGGGGTGATCCAAATATGATCATCCTTGTGCAAGGGACATCCATCCTAAAAATTAAAAGGCTATATATTTTTGCTGTGCAAAATTAATATTCAGTTCAGTTCAACTTTAGTGTCAGACTCGGGGTACATTAGAAAAAAAAATATTATACCAAGTATATTATTAATGTGTAGAATATTGTTTGGATTTTTCTACTTGCTACAGTAAACTACATTATTTCTTTAATTTTATTTATTAATGTATTTTTTTATTTATTTTAAATCTAATTGTTATTTATTTACTTACTTATTTTAAATCAAATTTTTATTCATGTAGTTTTTTTACTCTGCGAGATGTTCAGACTCGTAACTTTTAATGATAACGTTTGTTATGTTGTGTTTGTCAGTCTCTGAAGGCTCCTGAGCTGAAGGAGAAACTTCACGAATCGGAGAAGCTCATTCAGGAAATGACGGTCACTTGGGAAGAGAAACTCCGGAAAACGGAGGAGATTGCACAGGTGTCACACATACACACACACACGAAAGTTGGGTTTTCATGTTTAATGGGGTCTTTCCATAGACATAATGTTTTTTATGCTGTACAAACTGTGTATTCTGTCCCCTTATACTAAACCTACCCATCACAGAAAACGTTCTGAATTTTTGCATTTTCAAAAAGCATGATTTATAAGCCGTTTTGAAAATGTAAAAAAACAGAAAATGTGGGATTTGATTGACAGCTGTCATTGGTCTCTGCAGGATCGTCAGAAGCAGCTGGAGAGCATGGGGATCTCTCTGGAGTCATCAGGGATCAAAGTCGGAGAGGACAAATGCTTCCTGGTCAACCTGAACGCTGATCCTGCTCTTAATGAACTTCTGGTTTACTACCTGAAGGTACATTGATTGCACAGTGAGACGTAATTAGTGAGGTTTGCATCTAATTTTGCTTGTTTATTTCCATTGGACGCTTGCATAAAGGAATCCTGACGCTCTTTTATTTTTGATGCATCTCAAGGGACACATAAGGACTGAGTGACAATAAATGAAACATTTTTAAATGGACAAATTAATAGACATATTAAAGGAGTAGTTCACTTAAAAAAAAAAACTTTAGCTGATAATTTACTCACCCCCACGTCATCCAAGATGTCCATGTCTTTCTTTCTTCAGTCGAAAAGAAATTAAGGTTTTTGATGAAAACATTCCAGGATTTTTCTCCATATAATGGACTTCAATGGGGTCCAAACGGTTCATGGTCCAAATGAGAGTTTCAGTGCAGCTTCAAAAGGCTTTAAACGACACCAGACTCCCCTGTTCGAACTCGTTCATCAAAATGAACAAATCTTTTTCCGATTCATTTCGTTCATTCAATGAACGAATTAACTCGAAAAAAGAATTGTTCATTTTGATGAACGAGTTCGAACTGGAGAGTCACGAACGCGCATCACAGAACAGAGCAAGGCGAGCATTTGTGCTTATAAAACTTAAACTTTTTAATTTGTTTTTGAAATGACCGATCGTTTCGCTAGATAAGACCCTTATTCATCGTCTGGTGTCGTTTAAAGCCCTTTGAAGCTGCACTGAAACTCTCATTTGGACCTTGAACCGTTTGGACCCCATTGAAGTCCATTATATGGAGAAAATCCTGAAATGTTTTCATCAAAAACCTTCATTTCTTTTCGACTGAAGAAAGAAAGACATGGACATCTTGGATGACGTGGGGGCGAGTAAATTATCAGCAAAAGTTTTTTTTAAAAGTGAACTAATCCTTTAATAGGGACCCCTTTTTCAAAGTCTTGATTTAGTTTTTGGGCTCTACTAAAATAAGTTTTCATTCTTAAATGTTCTTAAATTTTCACATATTCTCCATTGTTGCAGCTCCTCTCTTCCCAGTCTGTCAGTATCGCTCTGTTTAGTTCCTGTCTATATGAAGCCCCTCCTTCTGAAATGCACAATGGGCTCTGATTAGTCAGTTGGATCAGTGTGTTGTGATTGGTCAGCCGCTTCAAATGCCAAATGTCCCGCCCCTTACAATAACCGTGAGTTTCAACACACTTCAAACCAACTCAACCCCGCCCCTTTATTCTATATATGCCTTAGTCGGGAATTATTAAAATGAGAAATATTGTGACGTGTTCGTTCCCGGAAGAAACCTCAAGACTACAATGGAGGCGTTTCAGGGAGCTCAGAAACACTGACACTGCTATAGAGCATAACTCCCACTGGAGGGACGTTGTTCTTCGTAAATTTGCAGACATTTTCATGATCAAACAGCAACATTACACACTAAAGAAAGGAAAATGTATGAAGAGTTCAGATGCAAAAGCCTCTAAATGCCATTTGAAATTTTCTTCTAAAATGCCCATTTTTATCAAGCTTGTATATTTAAGTTCAGTAATTTCACTTAAATGGCAATGAAGATTACCTATTAATTGTCATTTAAGTGAAATTACTGAACTTAAATATACAAGCTTGATAAAAATGGGCATTTTAGAAGAAAATTACAGGACTCTTCGTATGAACTACAGGACTTTCACTACACACTCTATGCAAAGCACGACTGCAATCAAAAATGTTTGCATCCACATTTGATTCGATCCAACTAGGGCTGTGAATCTTTGGGTAGACAGCGAATCGATTCGATTCACGATTCATAGGTTTTCGATTCGATTCATGAACGATTTGTGCAAATTCAGAACGATTCGATTCGATGCGATTCACATCCAAATTCGATGCGATTCGATTAATTCGATTCGATTCTTAATTTTTTATATGCATTATAGTATTATTTCAATGCTTCACCCATCTTTGTCTGGGTTTTAATTAGCCTACAGCGGCCTTCGGGGATCAGATAGTGGGGATTTTGTCCATTGTTAATGTTAGTTCATGTTTGTTTTTAATTTTAATGAATATATTATTATAAAAAAAATTCAATGGCCTACAAATTAGCATTTGCAAGTAGCAAATATTTTGAAAAAGGCTTTTTAAAGTATTGCATTAAATGACTACATGCACAAATTAATGGAGACGTTTTCATTAGTTTCATTTTGCGTCCTCTCAGTGCACTCGTTATCATATTTTCACTGGATTTTGCTCGCGCTCGGTCCCATAGCTCTCATGCTTTCATAACGTTAACTACAGATTTTTGAGCAGTCCATGTTTGAGCTCTCCAGCTGAGCTCTCTGTCGAGAAAGCCATAGTTTTGAGGCAAACCGCTCAAGCCATTGATAAAGCTGCCATGCCATTGTGTGGGCACTATGAAAAAAAACGCTTTCATTCATTTATTACATGGACTCTCCGTACACGCAAGGTGGTCTCTCGCTCGCTTTCCCTCTCTGCCGAGTGCGTGCAGCCGTGTGTGAACGCGCGATACGCGGTTTGGAGCACAACCTCTGTCTCGTATGCACACTCGCTCTAGATTCCGGGAGATTTTAACTAATTTGCGGTAATACAAGCTGATCACGACATAAGTAGCTCAACAGGTAGAAAGATAAACTCATCTTTCAGGCATTTGACCGACCGGGCTTCAGCGTGAGAAATCAGGGGTGTGTGAGCGCCTGAAACCAATCAAATGCGGATGTCGTATGACGGCCAATGCGTGAGGTAGCTTGTACCAGGAACACTTTAAGGTTGTGTTTATATATTTTAAACCACTGAATCGCAATAAAATTGTGATTAATTCGATTTTTAGCCTTTTAAATCGATTATTCACGTAAATAAACGATTCACGATTCAAAATACATGTTTCAGGATCGATGCATATGCATCGCCAGGATTTATAATCGATGCATCGAGAAAACGAGTGAATCGTTACACCCCTAGATCCAACCTTCGTTGATTCGATTCAACCGTCATCGCTGTCGTTCAGGATGTATCTGCAGGTCTGATCGAGACCCGTGAGAACAGCAGCCAGGCCTCGACTGCACCAACAACAGGCCTTTGTCTGCCGCCTCCAGTCGGCTTGGCATACCAATGTTGAATTAGCATGCTAATGTGAAGGGAAAAGTGCAGCTGTGGGCATAAACAACGTCCCCTGGAAGAGCAATGTTTGTGTAACTGAGCCCACATGTGTGAAAACACAGCCCTCTTTACTCCTTCCTTTGATGCTTGTTATTTTGTTCGTCACTGTTAGTGCGTCGAATAATGTAAAGACGATCTGGCAGGGTTATGGTCACAATGTAGACAGCTTCTCTATGTTACGCCATAAACTACAGGTGTGGTGCTGTGTAGTTTCGAGCGGCTCACGTGTGAGGTGTTCTTCTCTGTGTTCAGGATCACACGCGTGTGGGTGCCGACACATCTCAGGACATCCAGCTGTTCGGCATCGGGATTCAGTCTGAGCACTGTGTGCTGGACATCACGGCTGATGGAGACGTCATGCTCTCGCCGCTGGAGAACGCCAGGTTATTAGCATTGCATAGTGTTTGCATACAGATATACAGTTCAAACTACAACAAAAGAAATGAATGAAATGAAGAAAAAAAAAGAGAATATGTTGTACATGTGACAAAAAAAGAGAAAATAATAGTATTTTTTTTTTCTGGGTCACATTTCACCCCAAAATCAACAGAGAGAATTAAGTGTTTAAAAATTATATTTCAATATATTTTTTACAAACCATGAGGCTTTGCAAATGACATAATTAGATCTCCTTACACACTTTTTTTATATTGTGTAATTTTCACTTTAATTGTAGTTATGGGTGTTTTTTTACTATATTTCTTTACTTAATTCATATTTTAGTTTCAGTTTTAGCAATTCAACTTCAATTAAATTGAACGAAAATGAGAAATGTTGCCTAACTAATGTCTGCTATTATTTATAAAAAAATGAGCGTAAATGTTTTTAGTTTTAGTTAATGATAACAACATTGATTTTTCTATATATTTTGCATTTTAAAATATATATGCATTTTATTAGGGCTGTGCAAAAATTAATTGCGATTAATCGCATCCAAAATAAAAGTCTGTGTTTACATGATATATTTGTGTGTGCTGTATAAAATTATTTTGTATAAATAAATACCTATGCATGCATGGATATATTTAAGAATTATTTGCGCTTAAATTCTTAATATAGATTATATAAATACATAATCTACTGTATATTATATAAATATAAATATTTTATATATGAATAACACATTTTCTTAAATATATACATGCATGTGTGTGTATTTATATATATATAAAATAATTATATACAGCACACACAAATATATTATGTAAACACAAACTTTTATTTTGGATGCGATTAATCGCAAATCATTTTTGCACAGCGCTAATTTTTATGTTGTACTGTTTTTCCTGTCAAGTCGTTTGCGGGATGGTTATTCCCTCAGGAATTCAGGAACACAGTCTTTTCCCTTTTGATTTAAATACTTTTTGCATCCAATCAAATATTGTTTTATTCTGATTGTGATGTTTTATCCTTATTTTCCTGCACAGGACCTGTGTGAACGGCACAATGCTCTTCTCCAAGGTTCACCTGTGGCACGGAGATCGCATCCTGTGGGGAAACAACCACTTCTTCAGGTAAGCTGCACATCCGGTTGGGCGTCTCCTGTACATGTACTGGTTCATCAGAGTGAACATGTCGTCCTCAGAATCAACCTGCCGAAGCGCAAGCGGCGCGACCGTTTAAAGGAGATGGAGAGGGATTGCTCCCGCGAGAGCTTCGTGGAGGCCGACGTGGAGACGGCCAGTGAGGCTTCGTCCGAGCAGGACTACAGCTACGAGTTTGCACAGATGGAGGTCATGATGAAAGCTCTGGGGAACAACGGTACTCTCTACAGCCATTACTACACAACACACACACACATGCAGGAGGCACTGCTTCATTTATATGGAAAATGAAATACATCTATATAACAAAATGAATTTTCCTGCTTGTATTCTCATTGAGAATTATTATGAAATTATATTTTATTATGCAATAAAATATAATACATTAAAACATATTATATATTAAAATCAAATATTATTTTAATCATATATTATTTTAATATATAAATAATTTTGTCCTGTCAAATCGATTAATCACGATTTAACGCATAATAACTAACATAAATGTTCATAAATATATATACTGTAATATTTATACTCACTCACAGTCACACACATATATATATATATATATATATATATACATACGTATATTTACACAATCACACATGTATATATTTACAAACCCTAATATATATATATATATATATATGTGTGTGTGTGTGTGTGTGTGTGTGTGTGTGTGTAAATATATATATTTACAAACCCTAATATCTATCTATCTATCTATCTATCTATCTATCTATCTATCTATCTATCTATCTATCTATCTATCTATACATATATCTATATACAAAGTATATATAGATATAGATATTAGGATTTGTAAATATATATATTTACACACACATATATATATATATATAGATAGATAGATAGATAGATAGATAGATAGATAGATAGATAGATAGATAGATAGATAGATAGATAGATAGATAGATAGATAGATAGATAGATAGATAGATAGATATTAGGGTTTGTAATTATGTATATTTACACATACACAATATTTAAACACACACACTCATATATTTATATATATATATATTTATATACATACTGTATATATACAAACCCTAATATCTAGCTCAAGTAAATATATCTTGTTTTAAGGATGTTTAAAGTAGTTTTTCTTTTCTGGAGAAAGCCAGCCATTAATATCAGTGTTATTTTAGTATTTATTTATTTATTATTTATATTGTATTATAAGTATTGTATTGAATTAGCTTTTACTTTTTATACTTTCCTATATCAATTTAATTTTAGTTTAAGTTTTTTAGTCATTTAAATATGTGCTTTTGCCATTTTTATTCACTTTTTAAAAATATATCAATCTTTATTTCACTTTTAATTTACCTTAAACTTATTTTATTTCAGTTAGTTGGCGAGGCAATATTTCTAATTTCCGTTTAAGTTTTCCATCTAATTATTTCCATTCCGTTCCGTTTCTAACAGAAACAGTCCGTTGACAGTAACACTGATTGATAGATGTATCAGATGCAGAAAGCGTGTGTGTTTGTGTGAAGCTGTTGTTGGCCGTGTGTCCACACAGACCCCATGCAGAACGTGGTGCAGGTTCTGGAGAAGCAGTATCTGGAGGAGAAGCGTCTGGCTCTGGAGGAGCAGCGTCTGATGTACGAGCGGGAGCTTCAGTCCCTGCGGCAGCGGCTCTCGCCGGAGAAGGTGTCGCAACACCAGCGCTGCAGCAGCGACCGCCTGCCCTTCCCCACACACTCCACACACTCCACACACAGCAAAGAGCGGCTGTGGACGGAGGAGAGGTGAGAACGCACACTCGCCCTTTAAAGCTACAATCTCTCGTTTTTTTCACACGAGGGTTCGCATTTTCGAAACGGTAACAAAGACGAAGATAGATGGTGATATTTGAGTATATTCAACTTATATATACAGTCAGTTGATATAATAACTTATTTGCCTGGCTAATTGCGGCATCTACCTCCGACTTCCGGTTATATTGGCAGGTACGGCTTTTCGCTGAGCCCCATCTCAATAGCGGCCCATTGATAATGAGGCATCTAAGTATTATATCTACGTCATTGATATGCAACAATCACAAGGGACGAGCAATTATTTAAAACTGCAATTTCTCTGGATTTACAAATTTGGAATAATGTAATTACACAACTGCATGGAATATATCACACTGTGGAAGTGTTATTTGAATACTTTATTACAAAAATCTTCTATATTGCTGGTACCTTTAAATCCTGACTGGATGTACCATTCAAAATATGTATATCAGGTGCTGCATAATCCATCCTTTTTGAAACCCTAAAATGCTCCCTACATAGGCAGCTCACTAGGTTTTGGAGTGGTTTCATATTGTTTACAAACTGTAATTTCAGTAAAATCTCGCCCAAACATACACACACATTCTCACACAGAGAAGTGAATCCGTGTAACACTCACATTTAACATTCCCTGGACATTCACCCAGCCATGCTTTCTAGTGGTCCGCTAGTGTGTCGTCGTGTCAGTGTGAATGTGCCTCTGTGTTCTTCAGGGACGAGCTGTTCCGCCAGAGTCTGTCTCGGCTGCGCGAGCAGGTGGTGAGAGCGAACGCGCTGGTGCGAGAGGCCAACTTCCTGTCCGAGGAGATGCTCAAGCTCACCGACTACCAGGTCACGCTGCAGATACCAGCCGCCAACCTCAGCGCCAACCGCAAGGTGAGAGTGCACACATTTACATTCCTTCATTCAGCTGACAAGCAATTTGTCTTAAGACCAAACAATATAGACAGTGACTCACTCTGTATTGACACAACGTTTTCTTACCCATTTATTTATTTACTAATTTATACACTCGTTTGTTAGCTTATTCATTTATTTTACTTGTTCATTCGTTCATTCATTAATTTACTTGTTTATTTACTATATTTGTTTATTCTTTAATTTACTTGTTTCTCATTTATTACTCTTTTTTTATTATTTTTATTTATTTATTATCCAATTTATTATTTTATTTAGTCCTTTATTTACAGATTTACATTATTTATTCATTTATTTATTTTGCTTATTTGTTTACTTTATTAATTAGTTTGTTTACTTGTTTATTTATTTATTTATTATTTGTTTGTTTTTTCTCTTTTTTTATTTGTTCATTTTTAAATGTACTAATTTATTTAATTATTTACATTATTTATTTACTCATTTATTTATTTGCTTATTTATGTTAATTATTCATTTAATATTTACTTATTTACTCATTCATTCATTCATTTACTTATTTATTTATTATTGGTTGACTTTTATTTAATTTTTTTAATCATTTATTTACTTTTCTCATATATTTACATGTTTGTTTATTTTTTTAGATTTACATACAATTTTTTAGATTTTTTTTAGATTTTTTTTCAGATTTACATTATTTATTCATTTATTTATTTTTCTTATTTGTTTACTTTATTACTTAGTTTGTTTACTCATTTGTTTATTTATTATTTGTTTTTTTTTCTATTTTTATTTATTCATTTTTTTACTCATTTATTTAATTATTTACATTATTTTTTATTCATTTATTTATTTACTCATTTATTTATTTGCTTATTTATGTTACTTATTCATTTAATATTCACTTATTTACTCATTCATTCATTAATTCATTTACTTATTTATTTATTTATTATTGGTTGACTTTTATTTAATTTTTTTATTCATTTACTTACTTTTCTCATATATTTACATGTTTGTTTATTTATTTACTCATTGGTTTATTTATGTTTTTCATTAATCCTTTCGATAGTCTCTTTATTCATTAAATGCCTCTGTAATATTAAATTGATGTCCTGCTATGATTTTAACCCCAGCGTGGCGCTATAGTCAGTGAACCAGCGATCCAGGTGCGACGCAAAGGGAAGGGAACACAGGTTTGGACCATCGAGAAATTGGAGAACAAACTAGTGGACATGAGGGACCACTACAGGGACTGGAGGGAAGGCACACAGGAAGTGGTAAGAAATTGAAAGAAAGAAGTCTTATCAAATCAAAATCGTAATGTAACAAAAGATTATGCTTATAGTAAATGCTTTCCTTTTTGAACTTTCTATTTATCAAAGAATCCTGGAAAAAGAAAAAAAAAATTCCACAAAAATATAAAGCAGCACAACCCATATTGATAATAATCATAAATGTTTCTTGAGCTGCAAGTCAGGATATTAGAATGATTTCTGAAGGATCATGTGACACAAGACTGGACTAATGATGCTGAAAGATCACAGAAATATATTACAGTTTAAAATATATTCAAATAGAAAACAATTCTTTTAAATTGTAACAATATTTCACAATATTGCTGTTTTTTGTTCAAATAAATGCAGCCTTGGTCGGTATCAACGTTTCTGTAAAAATCCTGTATTTTCAGCAGGTTACCCAGCAGCACAGTAAGGCAGGAGATCCGTTCTATGAAGCTCAAGAGAATCACAACCTCATCGGCGTCGCGAACGTCTTCCTGGAGTGTCTGTTTCATGACGTCAAGCTGCAGTATGCGGTTCCCATCATCAGCCAGCAGGGAGAGGTGGGCAGGATCAGTGCATGTTCACCCGCTGTTAAACGGCGTCTCTCATACACCTGCTGCTGCTTTGGCAGGTCGCCGGCCGTCTGCATGTGGAGCTGGTCCGTGTGAGCGGAGTCGTGCCGGAGCGTCTGGCGGGAGGAGACGATTCCTCCGAGAACTCCAGCGAGAGCAGCGGATACGAGGTCATGGACAATAACGGAGAGATCGTCCACATGGCCAGAAAACTCACCTGCAGGGTAAACGGCTCAGTATTTTGTCAGTGTTATACTCAATTATTTTATCAAGCTCATCTCTGCATCTGAATATATTTATATATATTAGTGCTGTCAAACGATTAAGATATGTAATCGCGATTAATCGCATTAATTGCATTGTTGACTCGCAATTAATCGCACATCTTCATCTATTCTAAATGTCTTTTTGTCACATTATTTTTTCTAACTTTAATGCTCTTATCAACATGAAAAAGTGGATCGGCTTGCTTTGTGCAAATGTTTTTTTATTGAAAACAACATTAACAATGATGTGTTCAATTTCACACTAAAACATTCTCACTTGGAGCAAATAATCTCTCACACGATGTATCAATAAAAGGCTGAAAGAAACACTGACGAGGTCCTGATATTGACGAGGGAGCGAAGAATTCGCGTCAGCTGTGTGTGTGTGTGCTTGGCCATCAATGATAGCTCAGTTCACAACGTCAAAAAAAATATCATTTGGCAAATTTTTAAAAGTACACTTTCTATTCAGAATCGTATTGGCATCCATAAACGGGTTTAACTGACAGCTCTAATATATATATTTACACATTTCTGGGCCCTGCAAACAGACACAGTACGTTTTCAGCAACAGTACGTGTATGAATATCATCTGTTGTCTAACTATAACTTTTTAATGAAAATAATTTTTTATACATACAAAAATGTGATCATATTTGTGGTGAAATCAAAGAAATATGATCTACTGGTCCTGTGTTTAATTGAAAGAATCAGATGTGTTGTCTTAAACACTCACTAGTGTTCTCGTTGTGTCAGGTGCGGATCCGAGAGGCGTCTGGTTTGCCTCTCAACCTGTCCAACTTCGTCTTCTGTCAGTACAGCTTCTGGGAACAACCAGAGCCAACTGTGGCCCCGCCCATGATCAGCCCGGACACGCCCACCCTGCGCACGCCCGACGCCGAGTTCACCGTGCGCTTTCAGCACTGCAGGGTAAAACACACATTTAATTAAGAGCCAGTGCTGTTTTAGTATCATTGAGATACTATCATAGTTTTTATTCATATTTTTATATATAGTTTTTTATTTTCCATTTTCATTTGTTTTAGTTAAAGTTTTTGTAATTTAGTTGTGTGGTTTTGCCGTTTTAGTTTAAAAAAATATATAAATGTCTTTTAATTAATTTTTAGGTTTAGTTATTTCCATAAATTAAGCTAAACTAAATATAAATGAGAAGTTTTAATGTGGTAACTAGATTTTAAAATGTTTTCTTATTTTATTTCTATTTAATGTTAATTTTATTTTTAAAATTAAAATTACAACATACAACAAAAATGTTTTTCATGGTTTTAGTTTAGTTAATTATAATAAAGTACCCATCATTATGAACTTGTATATGGGGAAACCGGATGTATTTTAGCTTTTTATTTTAGATTTATTTATTTTATTTGTTATTATATTTTTTGTATTATTATTGCTAGTGTTCCTAGTGATGAAACAAGATCGAGTGAAGGTGAAATGCTAAAAAATAGGTTTTTGTGTGTTTTAGGGCTGTCAAAAGATTAATCGCGATTAATCGCATCCAAAATAAAAGTTTGTGTTTACATAATATATGTGGGTGCACTGTGTATAATTATTTATATATATTTAATTATTTATAGATATAAATACAAACACATGCATGTATATTTAAGAAAAAATATTATTTATATATAAAATATTTATACTTACATATAATATAATTTATATATAAATCTATAAACAGTATATACATGAAAATATTTCTTAAATATATACAAGCATGTGTGTGTATTTATATATAAAATAATTCTACACAGTGCACCCACATATATTATGTAAACACAAACTTTTATTTTGGAAGCGAATAATTGCGATTAATCATTTGACAGCCCTAGATTATTTATTTATAATATTTATTTGTACGTTTTATTATTGTTTTATTTAGGGCTGTGCAAAAATTAATTGCGATTAATCGCATCCAAAATAAAAGTCTGTGTTTACATAATATATTTGTGTGTGCTGTATATAATTATTTTTTATATATATAAATACACACACATTCATGTATATATTTAAGAAAATGTGTTATTCATACATAAAATATTTATATTTATATAATATAGATTATGTATTTATATATATACAGAATTTTAGTGCAAATAATTCTTAAATATATACATGCATGCATAGGTATTTATATATACAAAATAATTATATACAGCACACACAAATATATTATGTAAACACAGACTTTTATTTTGGATGCGATTAATCGCAATTAATTTTTGCACAGCCCTAGTTTTATTTATTGTTATTACTAGTGCTCCTAGAGATGTGATAACACCTCTAACACCAAGTTAGTTTTTTATGTTAAGTGTCTGTTTTGACATGGACCAGTTCCCATCTGTAGCATCAAGTGTTGCACAATCAAGCACTCAGATTCTCTTTTTGTTGGCATTTCTGCTTATGTTGGCAGGATTTTGTGGTGCATGTGACGGAGGAGTTTCTGGAGTTCATCTCAGATGGAGCTCTGGCCATCGAGGTTTGGGGTCACCGGTACGCAGGTAACGGCCGCTCCGTCTGGGAGCTCGACGCACTGCAGGACAAGACACGGACGCTCAGAGACAGGTGCATTTACTTACAGATACACTCACACTTTTCATGCATGTAGACTGGTGTTGTCAAATGTACTTCGGTACCAAAACGATGCGTAAATTTTAAAGCTGGCATGAAATGGAAGTTGCAATAGTATTTTCGGTCCCACTTTATATTAAGCGGCTTTAAGTACAATGTATTTATATCAAAAAATAAGTACAATGTACAGGTGTGGTGGTGTGGGTTAAGGTGTTAACAGTGTAATTATATAAATAAAAATATATAACTAAATGTGGAAATAAAAAATCCAAGTAAACAAAACCACAATTGAGTTATGAAACGTGTTCTCTCCTGACGCCCCGTTCGGTGGGGAAATTCTTGGAAAACCGAACACATGTAATTACATAAATTAATTACGTCTGTAATTACATGCAGGTATTTTCAAAATATAAGTGCAATGTTAAAACATGTATGTACACATTAAGTCCATTGTATCAAATGATTAGTTTCAGTGTAAGTACATTGTTCTTAAAGCCACTTAATATAAAGTGGGACTGTATTTTCTTCTCTATTGTGACATATATCTGAGTGAAACAGCTTCTCGAACAAGAAAAAATGTAGGCTGAGACTTCGTTTTGTCCGTAGGGAATTAATTGGATGGTTGTGGTTTGCTATTGGTGGAAGACATGTGAGTGACAGATTGACAGTAAACGCATCATCAGAGAAGAGATGTCACTGCAAGAGAGAGACAAAGTTATTTAAAGATTACAAGGGCACATGAATTAAAAAAAATTATGATGTGCATGGATGAATCATTTATTTACCCAAAATACTGCCAATGCACTATAAAAAAAAGTTGTCCATTTTGATTGAATGGTGACTTCAAAAACCTAACGATAACAGCCTTTCAAAACACTCCCATGCATATTTGATATTACTATCCATTTAATAAACTTGAATAAAAGTTTTTTTTAATGGTATACACTGCAAAGTTTCAGGAGTGACAACTCTATTAAAATGCAAGACTGAAATTACGACGTTTGGCAAGACAAAAAAATCGGATATTTCTAAATACTGTAGATCTTCTTTTAGTAACTCTTTACAATAAGGTTTAATTTGTTATTATGTGTATACTACATTAGTTAACATCAACTCACAATACTTCTAAAGCCATTTATTAATAATATTTCATTTTAATTTCAACATTTAGTAAAATTGGTACAGAGGACAATGAAATTTGGCTGGTAAACGACTACTGAACGCTTGGTCTTTCATACATGTAGACGTGTGTTCAGCTGTGTGTGTGTGTGTGTGTTTGACAGGTGGAGTGAAGTGTCTCGTAGGATAGAGCTGTATGTCTCCATACAGGAGTTGAATGAGCAGGGCGAGTATTCGTCTGTAGAGCTGCATCCCAACAAAGACATCAGCACTGGAGGCGTGTTTCAGCTGCGGCAGGTGCGACACTTTTCCTTCAATCTCATTCACATTCATTTCAAAATGCTCTCCATTTACACTAGCGTTTCTCGTCCACACACACAGGGTCACTCCCGGAGGCTTCAGGTGTGTGTCCAGCCGGTCCAGCATTCGGGGACTTTGCCGTTGATGGTGGAAGCCGTTCTGTCCGTCTCTATCGGCTGTGTTTCCGCTCGCTCCACGAAACTACAGAGACCCCTGGACAGCTATCAGGTGATTACAACGGACACAACGCACTGTTAGAGTTACCAAAAACTGTTTCATTACTTTTTTGTGTAGTTTAAGGTGAAGCTAAAACTGAACTATATACATATATTTAAGAAAACACACAACAGAAATACTAAAACTTGATTAAAATGATAATACAGAAATAAATTCTAACTAAAACCATAATAGTACATCAATGATATTAACATAACACTGATCTGGAGCATCATTCACTCACAATGTTAGATATTAGTAAAAGGTTTTCTGTTCTTTTTACAAAAGGGTAAGAAATATCACTTTGTGATGTGTAAAATAGAAATACAAATCTGTTTGGGTTTTTTTTTAAGAGAAAAGAATGTTGTAATGCTGTAATGTGACTTTAACATATAATTTCATACAATTTGTACCACTTGTGTACAAATTGAGGGGAGTAAGCTCTAGGAAAGGAGGGGTTTAGAGAGACTGGATATTATGGCTCGTTTCCACTGAGTGGTACGGTACGGTACAGTTCGGTTCGGTACGCAATTATTTGCGTTTCCACTGTCAAAAGTTGTGAATGGTACCAAAAAGCCGAACCGTACCGTACCACTTTTTGGGTACCCTTTCGTTAGGGTACCTACTACCTAGTACAGTGAAAGGGTACTAAAAGGTGGAGCTAGACTCACTGCAGAACGCTGATTGGTGGACAGAGTATCGTCACTCGCGCGTGCTACAAGGGCATTAGAAGCATATAGCTGAAATATAATTCTACTGTTATTGTGTCACGAAATGTAGTTTTAAGACTTTTTCAGGCGAGAAAGTAGTTTTTTAAAAATCAAATCTGTGGTTTATTTATAGATTTTTGATCATTTGACTGAGATCCATTCCAAGCGATCACCGGACGCTCGCGCTCGTGTCCCCCGCCTGGAACAGCCTTTCCTCGGCTAGTCGTCCTGATGTTTGCCGCTGACTCGGACGTCTCTGTAGTGGTTAAACATGAGATATAGTTCGTCTTGTATAAACCTAACAGGTGATCTTTGGTCTCGTGAATCTATAATTCGTTTCCTGACCAATAGTTTTGGCAGAAGGCTATACGTGAAGTAACTGAAGTTTCATATCTTTGAGCGCTGAATTTGTATATTTGACTGACTGAATTGTTTCTTGATATTATTTAAGCTTTACTGTATTTTGTACCTTTTACGTATACTTTAATAATGGCTATTATTGATAAAATTGAAATTCAACAAAAAGAGATAGTTTTGTCATTTTTATTTATTTTATTACAAGATCATCTGTAATGTTGTTTATTGCAACATTTGTAATGCGATATGCAATACATTACATTAGATATTGCCTGGAATATGTTTAATATTTTTAAATTGAAACGAAAAGAGGCAGGGTTGTTTTACAATTAGTTTTGTTATAAATATAACGTTACATACATGCATGCGTTGCCTGAACCACATTTATGTGCTTTAGAATGTTTAAAATGTATTGAAATGAAATCGAAAATAAGCAGAGTGGTGTTTTATAACATATTTCGTTTTATTGTTGCCTAAAATGAACATACAGAGATAACCGGAGTCGCAGAGCCAGAGCGAGCTGAGTGCCGCGTTCAAGAACGCGCTGTTCCATTAGCAGAATTACTGGACTCGCGTCCTCGGGATCATTCTCCTGAGTCCGACTTTGCGTTGGCTTCTTGGAAACGCCTAATGCCAGCGCTTGTTTCTAGTGACAAACATGCCGAGAAGCAAGAACAAGATCTGCTGTCTGTCATCCATTGTTGTTTACTATGTCGCTTTTCGGCTGTCGGAATTACGCACCGTTTCAAAATATTGGTATTAAATCCATTTTCTGAGAATTTATCAGTCAACTTGTTGATTAAAACGATTGATTAAAATGAAATACAATTTATAAAAACGAAATTCTTTTAAAAAACATAATAAGTCAGAATTACTGTGGGCTATGTCTGACCCATTCCAAATGTTTTCCGATATGGTGACTCTACTGATGGACCGCTCCTTGATCCATCAGTGCTTGAGTCACCATATATCGGAAAATAAAACGTTTTAAACATGAATAAAACATATCCTGTTAAGCAGAGCATTAATTTAGTTCGTTTAAATAAGAGATCTAGCGCTAAAATGTTTTGTTTTTGAAATCAAGAGGAACGCTTGTTGCCGCTGCTGTCAGTTGTAGGCTATGTTCTCTGTGGCACGCAGTCTTCACTCGGACGCGCACTTTAATCGCCTTTACGTCGGAGACTCTATTCATTCCGGTAAAAATCACAAAATAAATGTGTCCTATGCTTGATATTGACTGTAACCACAGATGGACATATTCTGTTTTGATGAGAGAGAAAAAAAACTGTACCTAGGGCGGATTAGAACCCGTAACCTCTGGCACTCTGGGCAAAAGAGCTACCACTAGACCATTAAAACGGTCAAATGAAGTCTGGCGGATCGACGTATTTATTTATGGGTTGAATAGAAAGGCTGCACAGTTTGACAAGTTTGTACCCAGCACTTCCGAATGTGTCTCTGTGCCCAGCAAATTTCAAACTGACGCCCGTGCTTAGGTGAATTTAGGGGGCGGCCGAAGGAGGGGGGGGGGCCGCCCCTCCCGCCCCCCCTGTTCCAACGTCTATGCTGTACTGTACCGTACCGTACCGTACCCCTCAGTGGAAACGAGCCATTATAGACATTGAGAGATAATCCAAGGTGTTTTAAGCTTGGATGCATGTAAACCTATTGTAGGAGACTCCAAAACAAAATCAGGAACCTTTAAAACATCATAATAGGGGCACTTTAACATGTGTGTGAATGGGCGTTTAGAGTCATGTGGGAGTCAGTTCAGCAGAGTGTGTGACAGACTGTATTCTCTCCTGGCAGAAGGAGGAAGACGACGATATGGATAGTTATCAGGTATTCTGACTTCCTGCTGTCTGTCCCACACGCATGATGACAGTGAGCTGCTGAACATGTGCTTTCAGACAGGAGACAGTACGTGGGTCGCCCGTGTCTGAAAGCCTGATATTATAATCTTGCTGAGTTTAATGTGAGAAAAGCTTCCAAAGAAGTGTGGAGATTCCTGCACTAACACTCGGCTGTCTGTCACATGATCACTGCATGGCTGCATGATTCCTGCATGTTGAAGGCCACTTGAACCGTACTAGATGGAGCTGCTTCTGACCGCTTCATCTGTGTGGGTTTGAATGGAAAAACGGCACACTGGATAATTTAATCTGCCTTTATTAATTCATGCCATTTATTTGTTTATTTTGGTATTGTGCAAGGATCATGTTGAAATTTGTGCACCTGACACCGTGTCTACACTGGACGCTACAGGCGAATGTCTGACTCACGACGCCTCAGAATCAGCTGTAGCTCGATGTCAGTAAAATAAAAGTAAAAAAAATTAAAAATTCGACTCAAATCCTCTTGCATAGCACATTGTATAGGTATTGCACTGCATACATGCGGTTAAAAACAAGTTTGGAAATGAGAAACAATTAAAGCTGACCTTGCTCAGATGCTCAGATGTTGCTGAAATACTCAATAAATTAAATCAAAAATAATGTAGAGCTGTATGCACTGCAGGCCAAGAGAGTTTTTTGAAGCAAGCAAATGCTGATTTTAATAGTAACATGTAACAGATAAAATCAAATCATTAATCAAAATAAATATACTAGGGCTGTGCAAAAATTAATTGCAATTAATCGCATCCAAAATAAAAGTCTGTGTTTACATAATATATTTGTGTGTGCTGTGTATAATTATTTTGTATATATAAATAAATACCTATGCATGCATGTATATATTTAAGAATTATTTGCGCTTAAATTCTGTATATATATATATATATATATATATATAAATATTTTATATATGAATTACACATTTTCTTAAATATATACATGCATGTGTGTGTATTTATATATACAAATAATTACATACAGCACACACAAATATATTATGTAAACACAGACTTTTATTTTGGATGCAATTAATCGCAATTAATGTTTGCACAGCCCCAAAATGTACACAAATTATATTTGTAATTTTAGACCGTGAAAATCTGTCAACAGAAGCAACATCCTTATCTAATGTAGACTCGTCATTTTATGCTTATGTACGAAATTTTGTACATCGTACTGTACATTTGAAAAAACTATCCCGACATACCGTCAGCTTGGTGCGTCACAGCCCTTATCATAGATATACAGTTGATTATATTAAGAGTTATTTCATTTTGACATGTTGCGACATGCCGCTCGCGTTATTGTAGACACGGTGTGAGATGGATGTGCTGAGATCGATCAGTGGGAATGTAATTCAAATGGGATTTTCAGATTATTTTCCAGTTACTTTAAATTGTGAATTGAAATGAGCTTGATGGTGTTAATCGCCCACTGATGGCAAATCTGAGGTCTCACTGTTCTTCTGCTGTATGTGAACAGGAGGAGGACCTGAACTGTGTGCGGGAACGCTGGTCTGATGCCCTCATCAAGCGCAGGGAATATCTGGAAGAGCAGATCAAGAAGATCTTCAACAAGTCAGGTTGGAGTTTAAAGCATGTGTCATTCAGTTGTTTACATGCAGTTTGATTACAGTTATGAAGCTGTTTCTGCTGATAAATGTCAAATCATGGCTCAAAGAATTGATGTCTACTTTACAAATTAGATACCACCTTTCAAACAGTTTGATAAAATGTTCCTGTTACCTTAATGGAAACCTTACTTACACACTGCTCTAGCATTGTAATGAATTGATATATTTGTATGATTAGATTTTTATGAATGTAGAACAGGCCTGGTAAGAAAATTAATATATTTTAAGAAGATTGTTGTGAATATTATGCTAATATTAGCTATTAAAAAGGAGTAGTTCACCCAAAAATTTTAATTCTGTCTTTACTCACTCTCAAGTTGTTCCAAACCTATATGAGTTTCTTTCTTCTGAGGAACACAAAATAAGATATCGTGAAGAATGCCGGCAATCAAACTGTTGATGGACCCCATTGACTTCCATAGTATGGAAAAAAAAATACTATGGAAGTCATCAACTGATTACCAGCATTCTTCATGATATCTTATTTTGTGTTCAGCAAAATTAGACAGTGAATAACAGTTTGGTACACTCTTAGAAGAAAAGGTTCTATATAGAACCTTAAAAGGTTCTATCAGCACTACGTATTTGGAACTAGGGTTGGGAACCGAGAACCGGTTCTTTTCCAGAACCGGTTGTGTTTTTGAAAAAATACCGGAACCGTGCAAAATTCCTAAGTTTCGGTTCCGAAAACGGTTCTGATGCCGATGCGATATCATCATGTGGGCGAAGTGCTGGGAGTAGAAGACGCCCTTGTTCTTATTCCTAAATGACAAAAACTTCACCACTGAAGTTGCGATTTGCTCTCACACGCGCTGCATTTGTCACACACAGACACACGCACGCTGCGCGCGCCGACCGCCGAGTCACTCTCTAGCCTACATTCAAATCTGTTTGCGCTGAGAGAGAGAGAGAGCAGTTGTCAATATGAAACTGCTTTACAATCACACAGTCTCAATATTTATTTGTTTCACATATTCAAATGATTTCCGTTACAGAATTAGTGAGATTATAGTTTGAGTAAACATTGACGGTAGTGGTCAAAACAGACGCAGTCCGTATATTTTTTGTGTTCAGAATTTACAAAATATATACAATGAGCGAGTGCATCATAATGTTTTTTTTTCAAACCGTGTTTTTGTCTTATCTTGAATCACTACGTAAAGCCTGTAATAAGCGTTAATACTCGGACTTCTTTAGACTGGCCGGCGGATCGCAGCCGCTGCGGAGTAGCCCAATGCCTGCGTGACTCGTCATGGACATAAACAGAGAGAAGTAGCTCCGGCAACAATGTTCTTCCGCAAGACGCATGCAGTTCTGTTTATTAACTGCTAGAGCGCCGATTTATCCAGTAATGAAATAAGTAAAGTCTTTATGAATCAATCATTCAAACCGTTTTAAAAAATAATCTGTTCTACACACATATGTGTGTTAAAGCATATACTATTCCTTCTGAGAGGGTATTCTTCACTGTTGGAGATACAATAAAGGAGAGGTCTAAATTATTATAGAGAAATGCAGAATTTTTTAATTTCCTTTATATATATATATATATTTTTTTTTTTTGCAAAGATTGCTTAATAATATTTTGAGTTTGTTTACATTACCAGTCTGTTAAACTAATTTGTCATGTACTATAAGAAATAAACACAAAAAGGATTGTGGATTTTTCTCTTACTAATATTTTAATTGAATGGGAACCGGAACCGGAATCGTTTGGCGGAACCGGAATCGGAACCGGAACCGGAAAATTTCTCACGATTCCCAACCCTATCCCTGGCAGATCGGTGAAGAAGTTCTGGTGTCCCACCTCACACTCTGCTCTGAGACTGCTGCGAGAGGGAGTGCTGGGTGCACCGTCACACATCATCCTCCACACCGGAACAAACGACCTCAGTGCGAGGGTGGACGTCACTAAAGCCCTGTCCAACGTGGTGAAAACAGCCAGCAGGATCTACCCCGGAGCCAAGCTCATCATCTCAACCCTTCTACCCCGCAGAGACGTCCCTCAAAGGATCATCAACACAATCAACGCGGAGATAGCCAACATCTGTGCTTCAATGCCGAACGTTCACATAGCCAACCATCAGCGCATCACCCACGAGCATCTATATGACCGTCTCCACATCCATCGCGAGGGCATGAGACTGTTCGCTAAAACCATCAAGGAGTCAGCCCTGAAACGGCCTCAGAGAACACCCCCTGAGCGTGAGAGAGTCCGACCGATGGACAGCTACGCCGCTGTAGTGGCAGGAACAGGTAGAACTGACACTGAACTGATCCAGATCAAACACATGCTGGAGATTATTTGTGACAATATGTTAGCTTAAATACTTATAGTGTGTCTGTCAAGAATGACCATTATTTCTTAATCACTTTTTTTTTATTTATTTATTTATTTATTTTTATTCAATGTGTAAAATTGATCGACTCACCATAATTTTATATATCCTCTATATTACCTTTCTAACTTATTACTCTATATTTTAAAACATCATTGGGTCATGAATTTCATACATTTTTCTGGTAAATCCATTATTAAATGTCAATGTCATCGTTTAAAATAACATGCTATAACATTCAGGGGATGTTCTCTTCTGCTTTTGGGGAGAAATCTACTAACCCTGATTTTGTTAATATTGTATATATAGTTCAGATATAATTATTTTACTTGAGACATGGTGTCGTTTAGACTCCAAAATCTGTACTCCCCCAAACTACAGAGAGCTACGAATTCCTTCAATCAAACAGCCTAACATTAAAAACGGAAGAGATTCAGGAGGAATCATAGTTTGGTTTAAAGATCATTTGTGGCATTATATTCAGCCTGTCAAAAAAGGGAAAACACATATTTGGTTAAAACTTCAGAAAGAGCTTCTGTGTTTAGATGAGGACATGTACCTGTGTGCCACATACATCCCCCCATACGAGTCTCCTTATTATAATGAAGACATCTTCCCAACCCTACAGTCAGAGATCGTTTACTTTCAATCTGTAGGATCGGTTCTGTTAATGGGGGATCTGAACGCTAGAATGGGGAAGGAAGCGGATTACATTACCTCCGATGGAGACAAATACATTAACAATTCACATATATATCAGCGGAAACACTTTACGAAGGCCCGTCAGAATTATGACAACACGATAAACAGGCACGGAAAACAAGTCCTCCAGCTCTGCAAGAGTCTGGGCCTGTATATAGTTAACGGCAGAACCAAGGGAGATTCTCTGGGTCGGTTCACCTACTGCTCATCTCTCGGAAGCAGCACAGTAGATTACGCCATCACTGATGTAGACCACAGTAAACTCAACTATTTCACAGTAATGCCACAGCTACCATTATCAGACCACAGTCACACAGTCCTCAGTCTGAACAGAGCCGTGAGTCTCCGGCCTTCAGACCCGAAGGCTAAACTGCACCCCCTCCCCTCCACATTTATATGGGGTAAAGACAGTCCGGCCCAGTATGAAGCCCAGCTCCACAGCACTCGGGTCCACAACATGATAGACTCATTTCTATCTACTTCATTTAGCGAAGACAAAAAAACTATCAATCTGGCAACCCATCAATTAAATGAAATATTTTATACAGTGGCCAGAAAAGCCCTGAGAAAAAAATATAGATGTAAGAAAGAAATTGCTAAAGATGGTTGGTTCGATAAAGAATGCGAAAAATTAAGAAAAGAATTAAGAGCATTATCAAATATAAAACACAGAGACCCTGCAAACCAACAAACTCGAGACAAATATCAGCAAACCCTCAAAACATACAAGTCAATGCTAATACAAAAAGCGGATCACATGAAAGCAAAACTTAATAAGATCGAGGAGGCAGTAGATCAGAACTCTTTTTGGGAATTATGGAATAAATTAGATAAACCAAAAGAACCTAAACAGATTCCCATCAATGACCCAAATATCTGGACCGAACATTTTGGAAAACTCTATTCCCAAAGCGAGCCAACCCTCACCCAAAAACACCTGACCTCCCAACTCTATAACCTGGAACACACTGTAAAAGACCAGCTAACCTCGTTAGACCAGCCCATATTACTGAACGAACTGACAGACAAGATGAAATCCCTAAAAAATAAAAAATCCTGCGGCGTGGATTTAATATCAAATGAGATGCTGAAACACAGCAGCCCCAAATTGAGAGATGCAATTCTCAAATTATTCAATCTTTTATTAAAAGCAGGACACTTTCCTGAGATATGGAAAGAAAATTTGATCACACCAATCTTTAAACAGGGTGAGAAGTACGACCCAAATAATTACAGGGGCATTACAGTGAGCAGCAACCTGGGCAAACTCTTCTGCTCTATCATCAACGACAGGCTAGTCCAGTTCCTCCAAGAACACAAGACCCTAAACAGCTGTCAGATTGGATTCATGCCTAAACAGAGAACATCAAATCACATTTACACACTCCACACACTCGTACAAAAACACGTCCAACAAACAAAACAAGGGAAAATATTCGGCTGCTTCATTGATTTTAAAAAAGCTTTTGATTCGGTTTGGCATAATGGACTCTTCCTAAAGCTAATCCAAAGTGGAATAGGAGGAAGGACATATGACATAATAAAGGATATATACAACGGGAACAAATGCGGGGTAAAAATTAACGACAAACGTACTGATTATTTCAGTCAAACTAAAGGAGTCCGTCAAGGCTGCAGCCTCAGCCCGAATTTTCTTTAATATCTATATTAATGAACTGGCATCAGCTCTGGAGAAGTCCTCTTGTCCTGGTCTGACCCTCGAGGGCAGAGAAATCAAAAGCCTCCTGTACGCTGATGATCTCCTGCTGCTTTCTCCTCATGAAGAGGGTCTGCACCAAAGCCTCTCGCTTCTGGACCAGTACAGCAGCGACTGGGCCTTACCCATCAACATGGACAAGTCCAAAATTATGATCTTCCAGAAAAAACCTCGCCTTACTGACAAAAAATACAAATTTACACTTGGGGGAACAATTCTTAATCATGTCACCTGTTATAATTATTTGGGTCTGACAATCTCAGCCTCTGGAAAATTTGACACTGCAATAAAAGATCTGACTGATAAAGCACGTAGGGCTTATTACAGTATAAGAAAACCCCTGTTGAAATATAACCCACCCATCAAACTGTGGCTGAAAATCTTCGACAGCATCATCAAACCCATCCTTCTTTACGGCTGTGAAATCTGGGGGCCCAAATATAAACTAAATTATGAATCCTGGGACAAAACCCCGGCTGAAATTTTCCACCTCGAGTTCTGTAAAAACATCCTGGGAACTCACAGAAACGCCCCCAGTCTGGGGTGCCGGGCAGAACTGGGCAGATTCCCTCTCCTATCGGAGATCCAGAAGAGAGCCGTAAAGTTCTGGTTCCATCTCTCAGATGCGCAGACAGAGAGTTACCATCACTGCGCTCTCAGATACAGGGCAGGACTCACCGAGGGCGACCCCATGATACATTTAGTGAAAAAACACCAACTCAATTCATTTATTCAATTCAGACACTCAAAAGTAAAAGAAATAGGGAAAATAACCAAAGAAGAATACATACACGATTGGCAGATAAAGGTCACACAACTAAATAAACTAAAATATTTCAACAAAATAAAGTCAGATTATAAATTGGCTCCATACCTGACTGATATCAGTAACTATGGCCAGAGAAAGATCCTGACTAAGTATCGCATTAGTGACCACAGTCTGTGTGTGGAGACGGGCCGACACAAGCAGAGCTGGAGAGAGAGAGAGCTCCGAGTGTGTCTGCACTGCCCTGATGGGGCCGTAGAGGACGAGTTGCACTTCCTCACCGAGTGCAGCAAGTATAAAAACATCAGAGATGCTTATTTCACGCAAATAGCTCAGATTGTACCTCAATTCCAACAAGCGAGCCCCATAAACAAACTGTCTTATATTTTGGGAGAGAAAGAAGAGTGTGTTCACCTGGCAGCGCAGTACGTAGTCCATTGCTACGCTGATGATACACAACTTTATCTCAAAACAAACTCAACCCACCACCCCCTCACTACTCTGCCCTCATCTTCATCCACACCACCCCTTCTGACCTCATGCCTGGAGGAGATTAAGGCCTGGATGAGTCAGAACTTCCTTCAGTTAAACTGCTCCAAAACTGAAGCAATTCTTGTCGGCACTCCCCATCAGGTCCAGTCGTCCCGGATTACCTCTATCACCTTCTCTGGAAAAGACATCCCTCTCTCATCAACAGTAACCAACCTCGGTGTAAGATTTGACCCTCACCTTACTTTTGACAACCACATCAAACATCTGTGCAAATCATCCTTTTTCCACCTCAGGAATATTGCCAAACTGCGCCCCACTCTCACTCTTTCCGACGCCACAAAACTTGTCCATGCCTTTGTCTCCTCCAGGCTGGACTATGGCAACGCACTTCTCTATGGGATCTCTAACAAGTCTCTGCAGAAACTCCAATACATACAGAACAGTGCTGCTAGGATCCTGATGAGAGTGCGTAAATATGAACATATAACACCCATCCTTCAAGCACTCCACTGGCTTCCCATCTCCGCCAGGATTCAATATAAAATCAATCTCCTCACACACCAATGCATCCATGGTAATGCACCACTATACCTCAAGGAACTCCTCACCCAGCAAACATCAACTAGAAACCTCCGCTCACAAAATGGCAATCTTCTCTGTTCTCCCAGAACCAAGCTCCGGACCATGGGAGACCGCGCTTTTTCCTCTGCTGCCCCGCAACTATGGAATTCACTGCCAGTCCACCTGAGGGCACCACAGCCAGTCGACCATTTTAAAAAAGGCTTAAAAACGTTCTTATTTAGAAAAAGCTTCTTTTAATCTAGAATTTTCACTTTTTATGTTATCTTATTCTTGCTCATTTTACGCTTGCTGTAGCACTTTGAGATCTGTTCGCAAATGAAAAGTGCTTTATAAATTAAAGGTATTATTATTATTATTATTATTATTATTACGTGTCCTCCTGCCATCATATGAGGGAGAAGGGCTGAAGGCTTTTCCATTAAACTGCTCTCTGTACTTATTGTATGTATCCTTTTTTTTTTATTTTTTTTTAAATCTATTGTGGTATATTTATGCATAACATGGAAATGTTTTTTTTATTGTTGTTGTTTATTTATTTTATTTTATTTTCACCATCTACATATATGTTTATATATTACTATGGCTTTGGCAATATTGTGCTATTTTACAGTCATGCCAATAAAGCTCATTTGAATTGAATTGAATTGTATGACCTACCTCAACCCCTTCCCTAAACCTACCCGTCACTGGGGTTAATAGCATTCATGAGTGTTCCCCTACCACCCTAGGAAAAAAAAATATCGCTCCCCAGATGTAGATCTACATTTTGCTTCGTTTCGCTTGGACATTTAACAGTGTTTATATGCACACGGAATCACTCGGACGTTAATGGCGTAGACATACATGCATACGCACAGATACACGCGGATAGCTCAAAATGCATTTAGATAACACGCCACTTGACTTGAAAGTGGCGTGTATGTTTACGCAAAAGTCATGATGTCATGCTGCCTGGTGGAACCTGTGGACAAAATGATGGAAGAATGTATAAATGCAGTCCGCAATGTCCTCACAAGGCAGTACCAGAGGTACTTTAACATAAATGTAAATGATCAGCTGCAAAAGGAGACAGAAAGTGTATACATAACATTGATGCAGAGCAAGTGATCGGCATGTTTTCTGCTCTGAAGGACAAGGGCCCAAATGCCACCTTGTGCATCATCTCCTGCAAGATTCGTGCTCAGAAAAATAATTTTTTACCTGGATTACCTGGATGGATTTACATCTGAAAAAAAAAAACTGATTAAAGTTACAAATATAATTTTTTTTATTATACCATAACAAATGCAAAAAACAGAGAAGAAAGACCTGTGCTGATATTTCAAGAGGAAGTAGTGAAGAGACTAAACAGCTAAACAGTAACAAAGACTGGAAAGTGACTTCTTCCTGGAGGCAAAACTGAAGAAGTCAAGCATTAATTTGAGCATTGAGTTCCCTGAGATGGATGAAGACTGCAGGTTCAGTGTTGATGAAATTGTAGGGGGCAAGGTTGTGGGCAGAAGGATATGCCACAAACCAGGATATATCTGGTTTGACAAGGACACAAAATGTGAAACCATGTATTATGGACATAGAATTGATAAATATCTGAAGAACCAAGGAGGCACATATGTTATTAGCTATTGGCTTGAAGGACAAAATTATGAGGATGATGCCACTAATTATGAAATTTCACAATACCAATTTGCATCTGATCATCATTTGATTCTGAAAGATTTTACCCTATTTTAATGTGGGTGAAACGTAATGTAAAATTAATTAATAAAATAGTTATGTGTTTAATTTTTTTGTTTTTAATCTAAAACTTGCAAAGGAGTTTAGATACGAAACCCTTTGATAAAAACAAATGAGAATAATAATTAGTGCTAGCCTGGGTTTCCCAAGCTGTTTTGCCGCAGCATGTTTTATTCACTCTGCTAGGCAGCCTGGACACCAGGAACAGGATTTTCGCCTGAAATTGGAACTAATCACAGAACGGGGAAGGAGCAGCAAGACTATGTATATGCGACACACCAAAGCAGTTTGTTTATAACTATGGATCTATCATGGCAGTGGATGTGAAGTTACATTCTCAATGAATAATCATTGTATTAGCCTGGTGATGTTCCTGCAATTATTAGCCTGGGTTTCCCCATGCTGCCTTGCTGCAGCGCGATTTTATTAATTCTCAATGTATCATACGTCATCTGGTATAATTGAACTGATTGGCTATGGGATGCATACAGGTGCATTTGATAGACATTCATAGGACCCAATAATACGGCACTGGGCATTCGTAAACTACGCCTCAAATACGAGAAAATTAACATTTTCCCGTAAATGTAACATTTTAATTTAGCCAGGCTAAATTAGTGCGATAACCATTGGCCAATTTAGGGGTTATTAGCGATAGTTTATCACTATTGCAGCAATTAGTTTGTTTTGTTTCACACCAAAACCTCCAAAACAGTCATTACACAATGTGGTACAAGTACACTGTTGTATTTCCAGATAGTTTTAAATCTTTGTAACTTTTTTTTTTTTATAAATTCTGTCTGAATAAACAATGTTATTTGGTGTAATTGGTGGGTTTTTAAAATATATATATTATGGTGTATCTGACTTTTCAGAAGTAGAATATGTAGAGGAAATGGCAAACAGCTTATCATGAAAATTTAGGCCAATATCTCAAACATTAAAAAGGTTATAGCAAAAAAACATTATAATTTGTATAATTCAGTCACACATTTTGTTTAATTTTAATGAAAAACGTCTCGGGTTATGACTATAACCCTTGTTCCCTGAACGAGACACTGCGTCGATAAAATCGACTCTTTGGGGACGCTCCCTAAGCGTGCGCCTCTGAAGTATGAATGAAACTAATCCAATCCTGATTGGTGTTGCGTCGTGACGTAACATGTGACGGCATACCCGGAAGTATAAAAGTGACGCTGTCACAACACACACTAGCCTCGCAATGAAGCAAGACGCTCAAGGGTCTAAAAAGGGGCGTGGCAACACGACGCAGTGTCTCGTTCCCTTCTCAGGGAACAAGGGTTATAGTCATAACCCGAGACGTTCCCTATCGAGGGAACTCAACACTGCGTCGACTCTTTGGGGAACGAGCACCCACTAGGCCACGCACCGAACAGACCCGCCCCAGAGTGAAACTGAATAAGCACTCAGCAAGGGCCGAGTACGTGTGCACCGGGCGTACTGGGAAGGTTGAGACTATAAAACCTGTTGAAAGTATGTCGGGTAGCCCAGCCGGCTGCCTCACAAATCTCCTGTAGAGGTACTCCCGACAGAAGGGCCCTAGAGGAAGCCATGCCTCTAGTTGAGTGAGCCCTTAAGGCCAAAGGTGAAGGAAACCCTCTCACCTTGTAAGCCTCAGTAATAGCCTGGACAATCCAGTTACTTATAGTCTGTTTGGTCGCCGGGAGCCAAGAAGCGGACCTTTCCAGGTATATACTCAAAGCTCTGACGGGGCAGAGCAAGTGAAGCCTCTCTTCTTCCGCCGACACATGAGGTGGAGGATGGAATGCCTGAATGACTATAGAGTGAGCCGTATTCGAAGGAACTTTAGGCACGTAGCCCGGACTCGGGTGCAAAAAGGGGCAAACTCCAAGCAAGCTGGCGTTACCGCCAGGGCCTGGAGATCCCCCACCCTCTTAAGAGAAGTAATTGCTAAAAGAAAGACCATTTTTAGTCCTTAGGCGTAGCCGACTCTAAAGGTTCGAAGGGAGCCAGGGATAACCCTTCCAGAACTATAGCCAGGTCCCAGGCAAGAACCCTGGACCTGGTCGCCGGCCTCATCCTCCAAGCACCACGGAGAATCCGAATGACCAACTGGTGCCTCCCCAGAGGTCCACCATCTACTGGCGCGTAGAAAGCCGAAATGGCAGTACACCTTAAGAGTGGACGGGGAGAGACCCGCAGAGAAACGATCCTGAAGGAATTCCAGAACTGAAGCCACTGGGCAGTTTACTGGATCCAACCTCTGTTCTCTACACCAAGTGAGAAACACATTCCACTTGAGGCCATATATAATCTCCTGGTAGATGGAGCCCTAGAGCTAAGTATGGTTTCAACCACCTCAGATGATAAGCCAGCATTCAGGTACTGAACCCTCTCAGAGGCCAGACCCACAGCTTCCACAGCTCTGGGCGAGGGTGGAAGATTGTGCCCTCCGCCTGAGTCAACAGATCCCTCCTCAGAGGAATCTGCCACGGCGGAGCTATGAGGAGTGATATTATGTCCGAGGACCATACTCGCGTCGGCCATCTCGGGGCAACCAGAAGTAGACTGATGCCCTCCTGACGGACCCTCTCCAGCAGAGCAATCGGGGGAAATGCCTACAGGCGAAGCCTCGGCCAAGCCTGTACCATGGCATCCAACCCCAGTGGGGCTGGATGTGAGAGGGAGAACCAAAGTGGACAGTGGGACGTCTCTCAAGACGCAAACAGATCCACTTCCATTGGCCCGAACCTCTCCCATATCGACTTCACCACCTCTGGATGAAGTCTCCATTCCTTGAGCCTCAGCCCCTGCCTCGACAGGATGTCTGCTCCCTGATTCTGAACCCCCGGAATATACATTGCCCTTATTGACAGTATTTTCCCCTGGGACCAAAGGATAATCTGATGCCCCAGTTTGCACAGAGGGCGCGATCTGAGTCCCCCTTGTCGGTTCAGATAGGCCACCACTGACGTATTGTCTGTCCGTATTAAGACGTGGCGACCCTTGATGTCTGGGAGGAAGCTCCTCAAAGCCCTGAACACAGCCATCATCTCCAGGCAATTTATATGCCAAGTGCGATGATGGTCCTGCCACAGACCCCTGGCAAAGAGGCCGTCCATGACCGCACCCCAGCCAGTAAGGGAGGCGTTTGTCGAAATGGTTTCCCGGCGACATGACACCCCCAACACTGGCCCTTGGGATAGGAACAAAGGTTTCTTCCATATTTGCAGAGAATGAAGGCACCTGCGCGTTACTCTGATCATACGAAACGGATTCCCTTTGGGGGAGAACCCCTTGGTTTTCAACCACCACTGGAGGGGCCTCATGTTAGAGGTCTTCTCGGGTCCTAAAAACTGTACCCGACCCGAATTGACCTGAATCACTACTTACCCGAACCCGACGTGCATAAATTCTTTTTTTTTTAAAGAAAAACCCGACCCGAGACAG